GCAAGTAATTATGGTGGCTGCAGTGGAGTGATTAGGCTGCCAGCTGGTGATGGCGCCATTTAGGCTGGGAAGGGAGCTTGGCTTCCTGGGGGCTTAGTGATTCTCTGGCAGGCAGGACCTGGGGGCTGGAGAGGCTTCTCCATTCATTCCTATTCCTTGGCTTCCTGGATCATAGGTTGATGCTCAACCACTGAGCTACGCCGGCTGGGCTCCTTGGCTTCCTCGCTCCCCTGCTGATCAGCTCCTGTGTATCTAACTTGGTACTATCTCCCTAGTTCTCTCCTCTATGCCCACCTTGTTTAGCAACTTCTTGGGGTCTGGACTGAGTGAACACACATGCCAACAGCATTGCCAAGCTCCCTAAGCTCAGACTGTCTCTCTACCAAACAGTAGCTTTAGAAATTCCAATCTGAAAGAAATACAATAAATCAAATTGTACCAGACTTACCCCCAAAGACTTCTCTGTCCTGCCTGTTCTCTTCCTTTCTGTTTTGTTTTGAAATGCCAAGAAAATTTGCTCTTGTTTTGATTGCAGCAAGATGGGTTAAAGATAGGTATGCAGGATAACTTCCTGGAAAGCTCAGATGTTAGAATGTGACCTTTCTATGATAAAGAACAAATCCACTCTTCCTCTTTAAGACTCAGGTTAGGGATGATTTGGGGGAAGCACTGATGAACTTGAACCCAGGACGAATCTAGACCCAGGCATCCTACTTCCCTAGTGTCTCTAACGCAGGCACTGCACCTGAGAACCATAAAGTGTTACAGAGGAGGAAACTGGTGCCCACAGATAGTTGGTAAGGTGAGGGGCAGGGCTGGGACCAGACCCAAATTCCACTCATCCACAATTTAGTGCTGTTCCTGTCACACCTGCCGCCAGTCCCTTGCCAAGTTTCCAACTCACTTTCTCACCCCAGGCTGCCTTTAACATCTGTTAGGCCCCCTGGAAGCTGGGCATCTGCTGGCAACATCTGTTGGGATGTGGTTTGGAGGGCTGGTGGGGTGGCCCATGTGGAGGTGGTTAATGAGCAGAATTAAATAGGGCAGGGAGGGAGAAGAGGGGAGGACAACTGAACCAGACAAAGAGTTCTTCTGGACTGGGTCCTGGGAGCCTCTTCTCTAACTCGCTTTCCTCTGACTCTTGTGCCCACACCCCACACCTCCCAGTTCTTCCCTCTCTTAAGGGCTGAAGCCTGAGGGAGAAGAGACTCATTTGTGTTCTGGGCTGGGAGCAGGGATATTGGGTCCTTTTCAGTCTGGACCATGGCTCAAGCTGCTTAAATTAATCCCTTCCTCTTTTGACCTTAGCTGTGCTGGGCTGTGGCCAGAAACGCGTGTTAGAAAGAGCTTTTGGTAGGAGGCAGAGGAGGCCTCGCCTTCAGGCACAGGCAGGGGGTGAGCTGACTCCTTTCCCTCTTCTTCAGTCTTTCTCAGACTCTCTCCTACAGCACCTTTCGAATCTCCCTTCCTTCCCTCCCTGCCCCCTTAGTACCTCCTGCTCTTCTCCCTCGTCTCACTCCACTCACCTTGTTTCTTTCCCTCCCCACTAACCCTCAGTCTTCCACAGGCTCTGCCCCATTCTCCCCCAACCCTCCCTCCACCCAGCTCTTCTGGCCAGTGCCTAGAGACCTGCTGCCATGTCAACCTGAAGCCTGCCACTTCCCAGGATGGCACCCCAGCTCTGCCACTAGGGGGACTATTTTTATCTCTGGAGCCACCCCCGCCACTGTGCCCAGCCAGCTGCAAGAACTGGGGCTGCTTGGATAGCAGTGGGAAGCCAGGGGTGTAAGGGGGCACTAGTGCTTGGATAAGGTAGAGATCTGGTTGTTCTTGGCTTTTGGAGCTCCACACTCTGCATATTCCCCAGCTTCTGTTTCCACTGCCTCCTGACCCCTGTGGCATAAGGAGCCAGGGAGAAGTCCCACACATCTGGAGTGGTGGTAGCAGGCCTCTGGGGCCTGGGTACAGGAGTGGGCCTGGGGACTTTGTTCATGGAGGACTCTTAATAAACATTTGCTGAACTAATGAAATAAAGGATTGGACTAAATGATCTTTTGCATTCATGCATCACTTTATAGTTCCCAGAGTGCTCTTATATGGGCCATTTGATCCTTGTGAGAATTCTGTGAAGCTTGCCTTATTTACCCATTTTACAGGCAAGGAAGCTGCAGCTCAGAGTATCTTGCCCAAGGGCACACATAGTGATAAGTCTAGGCAAAAGGCTCCTGGTTTTATTTTATTTTATTTTATTATTTTATTTTATTTTATTTATTGTTATTGTTATTTTTAAAATCCTCACCTGAGGATATTTTTTCATTGCTTTTTCAGAGAGAGTGGGAGGAAGGGAGAGGGAGAGAGGGAGAGGGAGAGAGAGAGGGAGAGGGAAAGAAAGAGAGAGCAAGAGAGAAACATTGATGTGAGACAGGCACATAGGTTGGTTGCCTTCTGCTCCCTCAGTCTGCAGGCTGATGCTCTAACCACTGAGCAAAACTGGCCAGGGCAGCTCCTGATTTTAATTTATGCCCTCTTTCTACTGGATTTAGATAATTTCCTTGGTTCTTACAATTTCTGAGATTTTGGAGCCTTGAGATCAGCCAGTTAATCCCTTTCCTAATAACCCCCACCCCCACCCTA